TTTCTTTTTTGAAGCGGCATGGATTTTCGAGTAGACGTGCTACAACAGTCTGTCAAAAACCGCCAGAGTTTTATGTGGAGAAAATTATTGACTTTCTCCTTTATGTGGAACGATTAATTACCATGAATAATTATGACAAAATTTTCGCATGTGATGAGACGGCGGTTTATCTGGATTGTTCGAATAGTTTGACTGTAGCGGATCGAGGATCTAAACAAGTCAGCACACTCAAAAATAACAAGTTAAACGTTTCAATTTCAGGTTTCAGTGAAAACCACGGGACACGAGAAATTGCATGTTACAGTAATGCTGTGCGCTCGATCAGACGGTTTTAGTGCAAACCTTTTGTACTTCTTCCAAGAAAAAGACCAGTGCAAAGTATTGAGGAAACATTTAGAAAAACTTTGCAGTTGGTTTGGTGTGACAGAACATTTTTCAACGATGAAATCACAAAAACTTTTCTTGAAAAAGTTCTCGGTCACTCAATGTTCAGAAAAAAGGTTGTTAGTATGGGACTCTTACCGTTGCCACATCAGTACAGACACTAAAAAAGTATTGAAACAACTGAGACTAGACACTGCGGTGATTCCTGGAGGATGCACAAAATTCTTACAAGTGAGTAGATTTTATTGAAACTTTGCGTGACCCGATTTTTCAGGCTCCAGATGTATATTGGAACGCAATGTTTAAATCTTTCATCAGAAAAGAGTACGAAGATTGGATGGTTCATGGAACGAAATCGTTCACCCCGGCGGGAAATATGCGTGCTCCCAGTATGGAAGTTTATTTGAAATGGATTCAATTGGCGTGGGAAAATATCCCGAAGGAATACATTGTAAGATCATTCAAAGGATGCGGATTAAAAAATGGAAGAAATGGCGAAGATGATGAGGCAATTCATTGTTTCAAGAAAGATGGAGAAATTCCAGAAGGCGTACAGTTATTGAAGACAAGACGAGCAGAACGAGAAATGGAAGAAATTCAGGAGATTTTGGGAGATATTGAAATTGAGGAAGACGATGGAGAAATGAACCATGCCGAGGAAGAAGACAATAACTATGACAGTGACGCCTCAATTTTTTGAATATTTTCCTTTTGTTGTGTTCAATTTGTTACTTTTTTGTTGATTTTCATAATAAAACTTTTTTTTCAAAATTTTCGTAGTTTGAAAAATAGAATTGCAGCCTCTATTTGAATTGCCCCTCTAATAGAGTTGCACCCCTTGAGGTGACTTGAACAATAGACTTGCATGCAATATCAATACAGATTTTACGGTATGTCTCTTTCTAAAAATTAATTGTAGTTTTTTTCATAATTTATTTGTTAACATAATAAAACAAGTTTCTTCATTTTCAACTGATTTTGGTACCTCGGAGCGAGGCCTCGGCGGCACGCTGGTAGCCCTTCAGAAATTCCGAGTTCAAAAAGTTCAATCCGAAGGAAACAAGGGAAGAAAAAAGTAAAAACATCAGCAGGGATTGAACCTCTGACCTCCTGAATACTAGCCTAGAGCGTACCCACTACACTACGCGTGTAAGACGCGACCATCGCGTTTTTCACATTATGAAGCGACGCCGCAGCAGCAAGCTAGTGAAGAAATTAGGGTGACAAAAAAGAGCATTTTTTCGTCCTTGAAGTGTTTTTTTCAGGTTTTTAAGTACATAGCTATATTTATACTTCAGAGTTATATCTTTTCAGTAAAAATGAAATTTTTGAAATTTTTGATGTCTACCCTCCTTTAAGCGTAAAAATGAACCGAGTTATGATGAAAGTTTTAGTGGCTTGGGACGTCTTCAGGATTCTGGGACAGTACGTATTCTGAAGATCAGAAGGCTCTATCTCTTTTCTGAAGCCAGTTATGGAGCCGTGAGCTCGAGCCCTCATTTGGAGGCGCACACACAGAGAGAGGCGCAGACAAAGAGGGGGGGGGAGGGGGCGGAGACGAAAGGGTGGCGGCATTAGTAGTGCTCAAAACAAAATCGTCTCGAAAAATTTCGAGGAATTCTAAAAACGTCGCGGTTCTGAAACGTCGCGGTTCAAAAATGTCGCGGTTCTAAAACGTCGCGGTTCCAAATTTTGAAAAAAAAAACAGAAAATTTTCCTAGAAATTACCGGTAGTTTTCCGTAAATTTACCGGTAAATTACCGGTAATTTTACCGGTACGTTACCGGTGAAAATTTACCGGTATTTTACCGGTAAGTTACCGGTAAAATTACCGGTAAATTCACCGAAACCGTACCGATAGCACACACTGACCTATTTTTACCTATTTTCTCCCCGATTTTTTCAATTTCTCATTACAAAATGTCATCCAATGCTAAAAATCTAACCGAAATGACTGAAAGTGTGTCGATTAGAGTAACGTGTCGACACAGCGCCGTATCGACACAAGTGAAAAATATCTGAAAAATCGTATTGACGCAAATATCTGAAAAATCGTATTGACGCATCTGAAAAATCGTATTGACGCTGAAAAATCGTATTGACGCCATTTCATTTTCAACGCGCTCTATTGAACAGTAATTTATTTAAGATATTGAACTTTTTTTTCTTTTATTTAGAAAAAAGTTATGCGAGAAGAAAATGGAAAATTGAGCTGAATTTAGATTTATTGCAAAACACCAGTATAATAAAATACAAATTTAACCGAAAAATGAACCCGAATTACATTTGACCGAAAAAGTTTAAAAATTAATTATGAATTGTTTGGGCTAGGTGGACTGATGGGAGAGATAGGAGAGGCACTAGGAACGGACGAAGGAGAACTATGGGAGTTGATCAAGGGTTGCGGAGAGGCGCTCAAAACGGGCGGAGAACTAAATGAATTGATTGGAATGGGTGGAGGGACGCTTTGAACGGCCGAAGAATAACTGGCAGTATTGGCTGGATTGAATGAATTGTTGTTGTTGCCATCATCCTCATCGTCTATGTTCTCTTCGCTGGATTCTTCCGAATCATCATCATCTCGAAGACCTTTTCTGTAAACGTTCAAACTGGTTTCTTTCTTTTGAGAACTCTTCGACTCACGCAAGGTCAGCTAAAGCTGCGCATAATATCATATTATTCAAAGTCGCTGGCAGTAATCGATTTCTGCGCGGCGAACTTATCATGTGGCCGCATTGGCTGCAAAAACGCAGGTTAAAGATTTTAGGATACAACTTTTACCTGAATAGCCGTTCCACGGGAGCAGCCGACGATGGAGAAGCAAGTGAATGATTGGCTAGAACACTCAAATTTGGGAATTTCTCTGCATTTAGAGCCCAAAAGTGCAACGGGTCCGATGATGTTGGAGGACGTGACGATTGAATCATGGATTGGTACGAGACAACTTCAGACTGAAATATGAACAATAAAATAAATATCCCTGCAGTATCTTACTCTAGTAGAATCTGTTGTGGCAACATCGCGTCTCGAGCTGAAAAATCTTGAGAAAAACGATCCGTCATCTTTCACTTTTTTTGGTGCAGGAGGCGCTACGTGGCTGGCTCCATTTGCATCGGTGGTCACAACTCGGATAGAACCTGAAAATTACCAATTGCATACATACTGAGACGAACTTCAAGTATTCCTACCAGAATATGTTTCTACTTCGTTTTCGATGTTTGACCATGTGATGTTTTTCAAAATTCCTGGCAAGTACGAAAATCTCGGATCACAATAGAGCGCAAAAGTCGCCAATTCGTTGCCTAACAATGCATCAAATCTGGAAAGTGTACAATTTTGGGTTGTCTATTCGTTTTACTCACCTTGACGCCGTTTCTGATTTCAAAACGCGAACGATTTCTTTCTGATGGGTTGCACCTGACAAGGAAAGTGTTTTCAGAGGGGCGTTGAGAATTTTCTAAAAATTTCAGTACTGATAGTTTGAGATATCCGCAACACGATGCCAAAAAAATCTAGGTCATAGTATCATCAACAAGCTGAAAATCTTCGTCTGAAAATTTTTGGTCGATTTCGCCCTCTCCCTCACTCCACTACGCCCCTCTCTCCTATACGCACTCCGCGCCAGAGGAAAATATAGGCTGTGTGGTGTTGTGGTAAGAGGGAGACTCATTAAGAGTGACTATGGTCGTTCGAACCCCACTGTGGTAAATCTTTTTTTTTGTTTTTTTTTCGAGACGAATTTTCGATATCCATTTTGGTCCCCTGAATAACAAATTATACTTATTTCATGAATTCCCGACGTTTTCAAAGTGAAAAAGAAGGCGTTTGGAATTTTGAAGAAATTTTGAAATATTGTTTTTTTCGACTTGTCCTATCGCCCAAAAGCAAAACTTTAGACTCTCGGAATTGCTCCGTCTTGCTCTTTTTTGAGTGGAACACCACTACATCAATCACCCAAATGATCTTCATATATTTCTGTGTATTCCGTGCGATTTTGAGCAATATTTGAGAAGTTACAGTTTTTCAAATTTCTTGCAATTATCAGATTTTGGGAATTATCATTGCTCACAGACGAAATCGAGCTGCCAAATTCTGTGAAAATGATGTTTCTATCATTTCTGAATGTTTGAAAGACTTTTTTGCACTTTCAAAAAAATTTCTCGAAAAATCACTTTTAAAGTGTGGTACCCCATGATGATTTTTTTCAAAAAAAAAATCGAAAAAATTTTTTTTGAAATTGTACAAAAATTATTTAAGATGATAGAGAAATGATCAAAAAAGAGTTTCCCGCTTGAAAAAATCCTGGAAAAGGAGTTTTAAAGCTCGAAAAATGCACGTTTTTGGTCAAAATTTAGTACTGAAAACACTTTGAGAGCCCATATTTTTGTTCCTATTAGGGTTATGACCGAGATATTGCTGAAATCGTATTCAGCATGTTCAAAAGTACCTTTGTACAAATTTTGAGCTAATTCTCAACGCCCCTCTAAAAACACTTCCCTTGTGAGATAAAATCCAACAATCCTGCATAGATGACTAGAATCTCCGAAAAAAACGTATGATCTTTTTCTGACATATGAATAGTTTCAATGTATGGTTTCGTAAATTCCAGGAACTCATTCAGTACACTTTTTTTCATCAGCAGTTAACAGATATTCTTGAAAATCGTTCAAGGCGCTGATAGATTCGTACTGTAACAATTAATATAGAACAGAAGAAATAATGTAAGTCTCACGTGATTGAAATAGGCTTGAGCCAACAGAACCGATCCTCCCCATCTTGTCGGAGAAAACGGCAGAGGAATTCGACTCAGAATTTTCAGAATTTTGGATCGCCTGAAAATTTTTTGTTTTTAAAATGTTCCTCCTGTCATCGCTAAACTCTTTGAAGCGTTTCCGTCCAATTTTTGATCTTGAAAGATGTGCAGCAAGCTTATTGATTTTTAAAAACAAATTTTTGACACTGTTAGACCCCGACACAGATTTGATGATAAGTGCTAGAGAGTGTGCGCCACAATGCAAACTGAAAAGATTATTTTATTTGAAAATTGTGTGTCAAACCCACTGGAATTTGTCATTTTTCTTGAAAAATGATATGATCACTTCCTCCGTCACACATGCCGCCTATTATTTTCCCAAAATCAAAATCATATTCAGTTAAAATGTTTTCAACAAAATTCCCAATTTTTTCCGCGTCGATTCGTCCTTCCAATTTTTGAATTCCAAGAAACTGAAACTTATATTGCTTTTGATCGATTGTTCGAACGTACCAGCTTGTGTCTTGAAAACTCTGAATCGATGAAATACAAAAAGAGAGCATATAGAGACGTATTCTCAAATCGCCCGTCCCAACCATCCAAAGTGATAATACACCTCTGTAAAAAATTACATACTGATGTGATTCTACCCAAAATATTCACATTTGCTTTTCTCAGCGTTTTCTTAACACTTTCTCTGTAGAATTTATTGGTCGGAATGAAA